ACTTGCAGTCTTCAAGGAATGTTGAGGCAACACTAAAAATGCTTAAGAAATCACGTTCAGGCAGCATCGTGAGAACGTTTGGGTATGAAGATACGATATGCAGCTCGGGCTTGTGTTGGCACAACGTTTCGCCCATTGTAGAGATTCATTAAGCGATGATATGGTTCTTACCTTCAACGGAAACTCGTGGTCATATTTTTTTTTAAGGGGTGGAAGGGAAGACCTCGGTCAGATGACCAGAAGCTCCAGCTGTGGGTCATATGACTAAGACCCGCGTCAGTGAACACTTGCCCTGTTTCCTGACGAAACTAACCTTACCTTACCAAATCTAACCTAACCTTACCTAACCCTACTTGACCTTATCTTACCTAACCTTATCTTACCTAAACTTAACTAGCCTAACCTAACCTTATCTTACCTAACCTTAACTAACCTAACCGTACCTAACCTTACTTAACCTTAACTAACCTAACCGTACCTAACCTTAACTAACCTAACCGTACCTAACCTTACTTAACCTTAACTAACCTAACCGTACCTAACCTTAACTAACCTAACCGTACCTAACCTTACTTAACCTTAACTAACCTAACCGTACCTAACCTTAACTAACCTAACCGTACCTAACCTTAACTAACCTAACCGTACCTAACCTTAACTAACCTAACCGTACCTAACCTTAACTAACCTAACCGTACCTAACCTTAACTAACCTAACCGTACCTAACCTTAACTAACCTAACCGTACCTAACCTTAACTAACCTAACCGTATCTAACCTTAACTAACCTAACCGTACCTAACCTTAACTAACCTAACCGTACCTAACCTTATCTTACCTTGAACGGAAAATTGTTCCAATAAAAACGTATTCTGCAACGTATGTTTAGCGTTATTCTCACGCAGTATTACTGTCTTTAGCTCTGCTTTATTAATAAGAATAATAATAGACGAGTAGGCGCACGCACGCACGCACGAGGATTTATGAATCACTAATGTAAACAGTTATCAGCGTACACAAGGACGTAAACAGTGCTATATGCGACGCAGTGCAAACAGGAGACTTTCATTTAAACAGGATAGCAAATAGTGGTGGGTGTGGGGGGGGAGAGGAGAGAGGGAGATGAAAGAGGAAACAGTGCAGACAAGTAGAAATAACAGGAAATAAGGTAATAAGAAAGCATCAGAGGGATGTTTATGAAGATAATAGTATAAAATAGACGAAATGTGTATATCTGTTTTGCTGTGACGAACACAAAAATCTTCATGTGGTAGGTTGCTCTATATATATAACCTGCGTTCAGCGCTGTATGACCCTGCTGGGTTTAGCGCTTAGTTCTGATTATAATTAACCTTGGGAAACTGGTTAATTACATTTAAACTGCCGCCAGGGAGACCTGGTCTCAGACCGGGCCGCGGGGGCGTTGACCCCCCCGAAACCTCCAGGAAGGAAAAATTCCAGACTTGTGTGTTAACACTTTCAAAGTTGGTGTTTCTAAGGGAAGGACTCCAAATAATTTTGGTCTATGTAGGGGTCTTTTTCCACCACTTCCATTGAAGATATTGAAATATTGGTTTCCATGTGATAACCTGTGCAGGATTTTCCACTGAACACATTAAGGTATTACTTTCTATGTGGTAACTTGTGCACGATTGTCCCTTGGTGCTGGCGAGTCTTCATTCAAGGACTCGGACCTTCCCTATCCCCCCTCCCTTGGATTTAACCCAATTTCATCTTGTATCCCAAAGCATTGTATGACCCCCTGTGGGTCTAGCGCTTCGTGTGAATTTAGCGATGATTGCTACTTCAACGTTGCACGAGCGCTTTCTAGCATTGCTATGTCATCTGTGTGTTCTTTTGTTGGTTGTCTACCGGCAGAAAAACAACGAACCACCACCTAAAGGAAAAACAGAAGGGAAGGCAGTAAAAGAGAACGCCGGAGAAACGGAACTAACGCGAAAGAGTGAACGCGAGAGAAATGGGTCAAACGCGAGAGAAACAGAGCGAAGGAAAGGCACAAATTGCAGAGAAGTGGTGCAATATGTCAACAAGGTCTGGATGGTTCACTGACTGCAAACTGTCTCGCCACCATCATCCACTATATTCAGATTTAATAGTATTTTTTCTTGCATAATTGAACAAGGCATTTTTCGGGCCGGCTCCTGTGGCTCTAGATTATGTCTATGAATATTTAAGCACAAATATGAATAGCCTCCCGTTTTCAGTGCAGCTCAGGGCAGAAGACGCCCAAGAGGCAATTTTGGGCACCAGGATTGAATTTTTTTTTTTAGGCTTTTTTTTTTTATCGCTGGAAAACTCTTGTGGATTATGAACTCAGGCTGGTACCTTTCATTACCTGGTATACGTATCCCAGCCTATGTGATGGGGTACCATCACGCTATGTAACCATTATATAAAGTAAGGTAGCAGCTCACTGCTGGTGTTCCATGTCCCATATTTTACGGCATATAAGGCGCACGATCATAGAAAACATATAATTAGGTATTTTCAATTATTTGTAACTTGACCTTAGTAAACAACTGCTAAAGGGTAACCCAAAGCCCTATATCCCTGACCTTGAACATATACGGCGCAGGCTGATTTTCCAAGATTTCCTTTTGTGGGGGGGGAAAAAAGCGCGTCTTTTATGAACTGTCTTACAGAATAGTGTAGCAGCACATTTGCTAGAACGAAAACAGCTCCGGTGTTGCTAGGAAGACGGACAACAACACTTAGCGCCGCATCGCCGTTATTTACCTGTCACACACAACTTTGCCTGTGGTTTGTAAGAGCCAGGCACACATCTTTCCTAACCAGGCACGTGTTGAGGTCTTTGTACAGCTGCCCAGACACGATTATCTATTCCCTAAACCTCGTCTCACCCCTATGAGGTAATCGTAAAAATGCACGGCTGTTAGATATAAAAAAAAAGAATATTGAGGAAGGGGCAGACCGTTTGTAGAGATCTGTCTACGTCACCTGAATTGGTTATCCCAGTATGGTCTTTGTGAGAGTCGAAAGATTAAACTATTCGGGCAGTGTTGTCTGACATCCACTGCGTTCCCTGTAATCAGTGTTTTTGAGTTCCTGGTCACAGTATGAGTTGGTGCACAATAAACTGCCACAGTATGAGGTGCTGGTGCACAAACTGCCACAGTACGAGGTGCTGGTGCACAAACTACCACAGTACGAGGTGCTGGTGCACAAACTACCACAATACGAGGATGCTGGTGCACAAACTACCACAATACGAGGTGCTGGTGCACAAACTACCACAATACGAGGTGCTGGTGCACAAACCACCACTCAGGTCAACTGTGGGAGCACAACCTAGTCAGTAAGACAGCACAGATTTTTTAATAAAATAAATTTACCGATGAGTAATTCTTGAGGTAACGTTAACTTTGCTTCCCCTGCCAGATTCCTTCAACATTCGTTAACTCTTTTATGGCACGTGATTATTGTTACAATTTTAATACTAGGCCTCTGATTCGAAGTGGTTCGCCGCTGTAAGTCCTGGCCCGGGTCTTTTCCGCGAGGTGATCCGGCATTGGCGCCCCAAATGGGGGGGTAATATCGTACGGCGTCTTCACTGAAGACTTGTGTAGTAGTCTTGCTTTGAGACAGTAACAGATCTGAATATTTTCTTTGATGGCGTCTCTGTATGTGTGGTAGTGAGGCGGGTGATTAATTTCCACGCTTTCCTTGTGCGGGTATCTTCGTTTGTGCGTTGCGAGGCGGGTGTGTGTCGTAATTATCATGGGGAGCGCTAAACCCGTAGGAATTATTGTGGGTGTCGTAAGATGACCCGCTCTGTCCAGGACTGAGCGACACGTCGTTGTAAGTTCGCTCTCCTGAGTGCTGGCCTTTGGTGAATTGTTCCAGCCGGAGCATTGTGATTGTTTTTTATTCTTTACTACGCATTGCCTGGTTTACGTGGTTACTTCATCATGGAGCTAAAACCTGTAGAATTTTTGTGGAATGCGAAAGATTTCGTAGCCTTGCAAGCTTGGCGCCACGTCATTGTAAAGTTCGTTCTTGAATCGTGGATATTGAATAGTTCAGCCGGGTTCAATGGATTTGTTCTTGACGTTAGATACGATTACCTTGTTACGAGAACGCACAAATAAAATGAGTAAAATCCAGTCTGAAACACATGAGATATCCAAGTCCTAGAGGTCATTAGCCGCTATTAATAAAAGTTCGATTTTAACGTATATCAAATTTATTAAATTGAGTTAATGAAGGAATTGGCCAGACTAGATAAAATAGAAAACAAGAGTTGTAATAGGATGGAACCGTTGACAAGGGAGACAGTGAATGAGCCTAATCACTACTGCACATCTGACCGTTTAATAAACAATTTAATTATGCCTTCCTCACCGTCAAGTTTATTAAATCGTTCATGTACTCGCGTTTAGACATTCACCTGATAAAACTCAACACATGGTATCTGGATCGACGTTACAATGGTTCCAGGATCTCTAACTCCTGCAAACTTGCTCATCTTATCATCTCCTTCACTACATTCTTCCTCACTTCCACTTCCTCGCCGTTCACTACATTCTTCCTCAATCTTCTCCACTTCCTCGCCGTTCACTACATTCTTCCTCAATCCCCTCCACATCCCTCAAACGGATTACATTGTTAATGGTTACAGTAAACACTCTTACAAAGCTCCTGTAGTGCGAATTTTTGTAAGTGGGATTGAAAACGTAGTTCTCAAGGTGAACAGAGAAGTGAACGGTCTACGTAATGCACTCTGCTCGGTTTTCAATGCAAGTTTGCAGTTGCATTTACAAGAAAAGCTTTTTAAGAGAGCTTACTGTAACTGAAATAGTACATTGTGCACAACCTATTATGTGTTTGTATAATGTAGAAGGGAAGAAAAGACCGAGCGATAACCTACATTACTACGCTCTCTGGTAATTTTTTTTTTTGATATTACTAAAACACAGTGATGAGTTTCTTTTGTTTATCTGTTAATGGTCTTGCTTATAACAGCAGCGAAAACACGAGCACTAAAGTCAAGCGAGAATGGTTGGAAATGAGAAAACATACTTTGTAAACATTAATAAGGAAGAGTTGTAGGTGACGAAGAGAGTGTAGGAAAGTGAGTGAACTCAACTGCAAGGAACGGTTATTAGTGAAAGCTTTTGAGAAAATTGTATGTAAACTGCACACGAAGGGAATGACGCTGGACTTGAAGAATAAATCTTGCCTCAAGGCTGGGATGTAAGGATAAGTCTTATCTCAAGCCTGGGATGTAAGGATAAGTCTTGCCTCAAGGCTGGGATGTAAGAATGAAGCTTGTCGCAAAGCCGTGATAAGCGGGATGCAATGGTATTTTTCACAGTCTTGTTTCCCTGGTTATAAATTGCTTGCAGAGGGCGTCTACTCGACTTGTTTCCCCTCCTTCCGCAGTCCTGATGGTAGGTAAAAGGCAGGAGGGAGCTGACCAGCTGGAACAACAGCAATGGCCGGATTTAAATTGATGCACACAGGAGTCAAGTGAGGTGGACTGTGACGACTCTTAAGAGGACATTTAAAATTAGATTCAAGAGTCTTCCTACGTAACTTTTTATTCCCCGTCTTGTATCTACGCCATAAAACTCTTGATTATTTGGAAAGCTCTTGTTCTTGGGAAAACTCCCAAATCTAAGAGAGAACAAGATACTGGTTACATTTGTGAAAATTATGAGTTCATTCGGCAGTACATTTTCCAGGTCGGCCGCGACTTGCCGAGCTGACAAAGAGCTTCTCCTGGGAAGCCAGTGTCTCTCGGAAGAAGAATGTGTCCAGAATGGCATGGTGGACGATAGTATGTCCCTCGACGAAGAAACAGGAGTAAAAATCGGCAAGCATTCGTCCTATCCTCAACACACTTGTGAAGTGGATGAGGCGAAACTATTCTTTGGTGACGAATCTGAGGTACACAATTGCTCTAATGCCAGCGATGATGACGCTGTTGGGGTCATTGCTAGTAATCCAAAGTTTGTGAGGTCGTTTAACAAGCGGGTACGATCCCGTGAGTTGAGGGGCTGGCGGTACAAGTCACTCTCAGGAGAGACTGACTTGAGACAACCCGAGTTGAAAGATACAAGAGAAAAGATCTGCAATGGGCCTAATGTTGGAAGCAATAGTCAGGCAAAAAGTGCTAACGTGGGTCTGAAGAGCAAAGAAAATACAGAGAACTATCAGTGTATCAAAACCTACAGGCGGAGAACCGTGTCAGGAGTAAATGTGAGTGACGGTGACTCTGGAGGAGTTTGTTTCCCCAGTACAGACAGTGTATTTTGTCCTCTCGACACTGTTCCACCCGTCCCTCAACAGTCGTCGTCGTCGGAGTTTAACGATCCCACCTCGAGCACCGGTAACCAGACAATTCCTGACAAACGAGAGGAACATAAGAGCTGTTGTCTCGGGAGTACAGCATCAACCGTCGCTGATAACGAAGCCACGAGTACTTGTGTGGATGTCGAATGGCATCAGACTAAGGACTGTGGAGGTGGGTTTTCTTTCCTCTCACGCCTGGGCAAAAGCGTGTCACTTAAGAGGAAATATGGGAAGTCCCACGGCAAAACTCGTCCTTTTCAGTTTAACGAGAAAAAAGTTGTTAAAGAGAGTGGGGTCAAGGAAAACTTGGAATGTATCATGGAAAATTCACAGGAGAAAAACATGGAGGAGTGTATCCCATGTCATTGGCCTCAGAACCTCTGCTCGGAGAGAGACGGGATGATGATTAAGCCTGCAGAAGAAGGCAAGGTTCCATGCTCTAAAGAAAGTAATAGTCCAAGTTGTAGTCCCAGTACTCGATGGTTTCTGAGCGCAGATCCCACCCTGGCAGAAATCAACACACTAGATGCAGAGAGAAACAAACAATGTAATACGCCTGTAATGACTGAAGCCTCTTCTTTCTTACCGATACTGTTTAAACTTCCTCCCCCTCCGAGGTCGAGGAAACTCGGGGACTCTGAACCAGTTGCTAATCAGAACTCGACCTTTGAACATGAGAGATCATGTATGAAAAGTAATCCACGAGACCCAGAGATGATGGATGAGAAGAGTGATCAGATGTCCCTCACTTTTGATCAAGATTGGAATCTTATTACATCTCGATGTGTCGGTAGCACAAGTAGTCTCTGGCCAGCGCTCCATCCTTCCACGGTCACTGATTCAGAATTTCTCTGCCTCAACGAAACAAGTAATGCGAACGAGCAGACAACTCTGTGTACAGTGGCGTCGGCTACAGCGCAAGAAGCCAAGTCTCCTATTACTGTAAGGAAGACTTACGAGTCTACATGCCTTTCACGGCAACCACAGCTTCCAGAACATAGTGGCAATGAGGAGCCACAGTTCAAAGAACGATCATCCTTGCAGCATACAGAGCCGAGTCATTTTAATGGCTTGAAAGAAATAAACATGCAGAAGAAATGCAAATTTCGCCCAAGTTTTATATTTCATACAGAAAATAATACAAAGAAAAGTGAGGTCGAGAAAGGAGAAGCAAAGGATAAAAATGTTAAGAAAGAAAAGAAGGTATCTGGTGAGCGAAAGGTGACTGAGGTAAAGGCTTCTGTGGCGACCCAAGTGAAACTTAGAAGAGTTGGAGCCATTAAGAAATGTGAGGAGATCCATCATCTTTTGCTGGATGATAGTCACGTTTCTCTCACCAGCGTCCTCACCATCCCTCACAACAATGACACACTGACACAAGCACGAGACACAAAGCCTACCCTGAACTCTTCCTTCAGTATACAACCTTTACCCAGTACGGGAGCCATTCCGAAGAGCAGCCAAATGAGTAAAGTTTTCCAAGTGATAAATAAAGATGAGGCCAAACAGAAAAATTTGAGTGAGATCAATCCTACCATACACGAAAATACTGCTACAGATACAAAATGCCAGACGTCTTTAGAAACGAAAAAAGGATCCGGAAAATCTTTTAAGACACATGGAAAGCGCTTAATGGAGCGATCTTCATCTGTTCCATTTTGGACAAAATTGTATTCACAAGAGATATCCCCTTCCACTGCTGATGGTGAGTGCCTTACAGACAACAAGCTCCACACAAATGGTGAAAAAATTGTTGCTCACAACACACAACAGGGTGATCAAGGTAAAGCTGTTCAGAGTATGGCAAAGGTGACTCACAAACGGGCCAAATCACAGGAATTAAAGAAAACCTTCTTAGACGAAGCATTTTCACTGGCTCCAGAGAGGTCCGCTTCTCATGACAACATAACTACACTAAAGCAAGGAGCATCAAAAGTATCCTCGCTTGATATTGGCTTCCAGCCTTCGGAGTCTGCCCAGGAGATAAATATCAGCAACCTGCACTTCACCGAAGATGCATCGTTCGAAAGGTTGGGTTATAAGAGCCACTATAAACACGCTAGTTGTAACGACATCATTGACATGGGTAAGGAAACAAGCGAGTCTTCGAGGGTGATCCAGGCGTTTAGGGACTCCAAGGTGATTAGCGCCTCTGCTTTCTGCCTCTCCAGCAGCGTAACTAGAAAGGCATCGGCTGGTGGAGGCCTAGGAACCCCCACGCCTGCCCTCAGAGGGAAAGATTCTTCTCTCTCTGGAGGTAATTTGCCCACCTCGCCGTCAGCGCTAGTAGGGGATGAGCTCGCAGGGGAGACGAGGAACCTCAGGGAGTCGCAACTACTGTACACATCCCCTTACGACCTCGTCACCAATGTCAGAGATAAACCTTACTTCCAGCGTGTCATCAATGTCTTCCATATACAAACCACGGTAAGTTTAAGACAGTGTTATATCTACGAAATGGTAAGTGACTACTTGGTTGTATTATATACCTGGTTGTCTAGAGCAGATCATAGTAAGGTCCATAATGAGTCATGGGGGTCTGACAGGCTAGGACAGACCACAGTAGGCCTACAATAGTTCACTGTATATCTAAAATAAGTTATAATATGTCAACGACAGGTTACAGTATGTCTACTCCACAGGAATCGTCGCATTGAGACGATATCTGTCAGTTGAGCAGTGGATGAAATTTCACTCGCAGCCACCTGTTTACGGGTCCTCCAGCCCACCTCCCTTTCCCTGTGTAGCTTGTGACGTGCCGCTGACTGTGAAACACGTTAACTGCTCATCCACGGCTTAGGCCTATCCGCCTTCGTCTTGGCTTTTATAATTACCGTGGTGCCTGTAGAGACCTTGGGGATCTTTTAGGAGACCCTCTTGATAGCAGTGACTTAACTTTTTTATATCTGATGGTTATTTTTTATTTTAGTGTTATTTATATTTGTAGTTTGTACGATTTAATTTCGTCTTTTTCTTATATAGCAACGCTCTTCTTGCCGAATACGGCAAGCGAAAATTTGTGTATGCAATAATTTCGCAAAAATCATTCTGACCCTAACGAGAAAAATATATTTCATTGTGTTTGTTTATTATTAAATTATTGTAAACTTATCTAAGATTGGGTCAGGTGACAAGGAAGGTGCAGGTGAGTGCAGGGTGTTGCCCAGTAGGTGAGGGAAGTATAGGTGACACACGCTGGCTTTAAGGACCCCCGGAACTCTCTCCAGGTAAACTCCAGGTAAGGGAACCTATCTGCCTGACTAGATTTCTCTGAATGGCGATGTTGTTGCGTGGTGTGAGCGAGTGGTTTCCCAGTGAAGACCTCGTACTCACCTAATTGTACTCGCCTAATTGTGGTTGCAGGGGTCGAGACCCAGCTCCTGGCCCCGCCTCTTCACTGATTGCTACTAGGTCCTCTCTCTGCTTCCTGAGCTTTATCATACCTCTTCTTAAAACTATGTATGGTTCCTGCCTCCACTACTTCACTTGCTAGGCTATTCCACTTCCTGACGACTCTGTGACTGAAGAAATACTTCCTAACGTCCCTGTGACTCGTCTGAGTCTTCAGCTTCCAGTTGTGACCCCTTGTTCCTGTGTCCCCTCTCTGGAACATCCTATCTCTGTCCACCTTGTCTATTCCCCGCAGTATCTTGTATGTCGTTATCATGTCTCCCCTGACCCTTCTGTCCTCCACTACGTCATTTTCTAGGCTATTCCACTGCCTTACAACTCTATGACTGAAGAAATACTTCCTACTATCTCTCTGACTCATTTGTGTCTTCAACTTCCAATTGTGGCCTCTTGTTTCTGTGTCCCCTCCCTGGAACATCCTGTCCTTGTCCACCTCGTCTATTCCACGCAGTATTTTATATGTCGTTATCATGTCTCCCCTGACCCTCCTGTCCTCCAGTGTCGTCAGGCCGATTTCCCTTAATCTTTCTTCATAGGACATTCCCCTTAGCTCTGGAACTAACCTTGTTGCAAACCTTTGTACTTTCTCTAGTTTCTTGACGTGCTTTGTCAAGTGCGGGTTCCAAACAGGTGCTGCATACTCCAGTATGGGCCTGACATACACGGTGTACAGTGTCTTGAATGATTCCTCACTAAGGTATCGGAATGCTGTTCTCAGGTTTGCCAGGCGCCCATATGCTGCAGCAGTTATCTGATTGATGTGTGCTTCCGGAGACATGCTCGGTGTTATACTCACCCCAAGATCTTTCTCCTTGAGTGAGGTTTGCAGTCTTTGGCCACCTAGCCTATACTCTGTCTGTGGTCTTCTGTGCCCTTCCCCTATCTTCATGACTTTGCATTTGGCAGGATTAAATTCGAGAAGCCATTTGCTGGACCAGGTGTCCAGTCTGTCCAGGTCTCTTTCTGTGTGTGTGTGTGTGTGTGTGTGTGTGTACTCGCCTAATTGTGGTTACAGGGGTCGATTCATAGCTCCTCCCCAGTGTGTGTGTGTGTGTGTGTGTGTGCATCCGTATTAACGTCAAATGCTCTTTTTTTTAATTCTTCCTTTTTTTCACTTCTCATTTTCCCCTCCACTCCCTCTCTCCACTGCATCTCTTCACTTTCTCTTCTCACTTTTCATTTACTTTCCCCACTCCCACTGTGCATTTCCTCTCTTCTCCAGCCTGCTTTCTTCTCTCCTCTCTACTCTCACCGTTCTCAGAATAAGAAACTTGGCTGCGGTAACTTGGCATCATAACCAGCCTCGTCTTCCTCCCCAGTGCACAAAAGCATTGAATCCTTCACGTAATGGAACTCCTCGCAAAATTGAATATTAAATTTCTCTCTGGAAAAATTCCAATTAGTAATTTTATTGCAGTGTGTCAGCGCCATCTATTGTCCGGGAGGGGCGTATCTCGCGTCACTATGATGGGGAGAGGGGAGACTCATTTGTTAATCTATTATTCTATTGACTGCATGTGGGTCATTAAGGCTGCATATCAGCATGTTTGAATACCTTAATTAGGGATCAAAGTAAACATTGTGTATGTACCTTGATTATTATTCATGTGAAAGTGGTAAACCCGTGTAGATTATACATCGTGGGAGGAGTATGATAAACAGGACATGTCCAACACTTGGCTGTCTTTGTTACCGAAACGTTTCGTCTGCTCAACGGGCTTCTTCAGTCTAATACAGGCGAATATAATGCTTGAAAACGTAGTAGCGGAAGCAGCAGCAACAACTGGTGCTGCTGTTGTACTGGTAGTAGCAGTAGTAGTAGTTGTATTGGTAGCAGGAGCAGTCGTAGTATTAGTAGTAGCAGTTTTGACGTGATCAGTTAGCCTTAGTATGAAGTAGTCATTATCTCAGCTTCCTGGGATGAAAAGCACTTTAACAGCATCAGTGCAAGCCTCGCAAATTGTGTGTGGATCTGTCACATACAATTTGCTGCAAATTTCTAGGTTTAAGTTATTTAAATTAACTTAGGGTAGTTTAGGTGACTTAATAATAACAATAATACTTAATAATAATAATAATTACCCATTTAAAACCTACCTCATCGCCGATAAACGAAACGTAAGGTGGAGGCGATAAGAATTTCTGACTACGAAGAGAAAGCGAGTGGAAAAATCTAATTGAGATAATCACTGTTTAAAACTTTAAACAGTCACCCGTTTGACTGTTGCAGCAACAGTGGCATACTGTCTGTTATTAAGAGGATCATCGTTTTCAAATGCTTCAGATTTTTTGTTGTCTTCTGAGAATTCTGCTGTAAGACCCTCATGGGTTTAGTGCTTAGTTATGATTATAACAATCTGAGAATTACGAGAGATGGTAATTCTTGATCTTTGAGATCCGTTGCTGAAATCAGCAAGTTCAGGAATGTTTTTATATAAATATGGTATTAAACGTGGTGGTACAACACCCAGACTGGATGACTTGTATTAACGTGGTGACACTCCACGTGTCACTATATTACTTTTAAGGCTGACACCACCCTGTTGATACTAGGGACTGGTACTTGGGACGGGTACTGGGGACTGGTACTTGGGACGGGTACTGGGGACTGGTACTTGGGACGGGTACTGGGGACTGGTGCTGAGAACCGGAACCGAGTTGATTACACACAAAGGCTACTCCAACATGGATGACATTAAACCATAATTCTTGACTTGAACAAAGTAGGGAAGGTATACACAGTTAACTTTATTACCTAAAATCACTATAAAATACGACATTCAACTCTCCGCCAGATTGTAGACATCGTGAGGTGTATATTTTTGTGTATATATGCTGAGAGTTTGCTTTAATCTCTACCTCGGGAATTGAAGTGGGAAGTACAGTGTCTGCGCAGTTTTTGAAGTATAGTGTAGGCACCCCTCTGGCAAGACAGTGATGGAGTGAGTGATGATGAAAGTTCTTCTTCGGGTCACCCTGCCTTGGCGGCCGTTGTGTGTTAATAAAGAAAATGGAAATCGCGTGGTAGCCTCAGTGACCCTCGGGTAGTCGATAGTTGTAAACACCACCTACCATCCAGTTATCCTAATCCTGTACTTCTAACACTCAGTCACGGTACACATAATTACATTAATACTTTCAGAAACGAACTGAGTATGCTTACACAGAGCCCTGAGGGTTCAGCACAGGTCATGAGAGAATGATCTAAATGTATTCAGTGAGTGACGCGGCTAAAAAAAAAAATGGACGAGTTGTATACTTGCACTGCCTTGCATGGAACGCCTGACATTTTATCCTCTATCAGAATTCTTCTCCAGCTTCCGCCCTTCTATAGGTCAATTATTACGGCAATCTACATTTACATTGGCCTCATTTTTCGCCATTCTCTGTGACTAGATGCTTAGCCAAACCTGTTGTTGTGCCATTGTCTATGACCTCGCTCCACCTAACCGCTTTTCAGCGACAGTTTGATAAAATACAGGATTATCTACGGGGATAATATTGATGGTACACAACTCTCACATTAAAACGTCGTCATAAGTTACTTATGTGTTGTTCCAGTCACGGTATTGTGCCTTTTTTGATCTCGGTTGATAATGATGATGGTATGCAGTACCGAAAGTGTGATGAATTAGACCTATGTGCAACGACTCTCGCAGTCGTAATATCACTGGTCTAGAAGTTTAAGGACTTAATTGCCGTGGGTTCGATCCCCACTCGTTCTGTGGCTTGCCTATTTTTGTCGTCGAGACAATAATCTTCTGTTAAAATCGGGAGCAAGGGAGTGGTATATGTGAATTAACAAGAGGATGAGCAATCACTGGAGAGGGTATTTTGATCTGGTTGGTTAGTGACATTACTGGGGAAAGAACTTTGACCTGGTTAGTGACATAAAGGGGAAAGTACCTGGTTAATGACATCACCGAGGAAAGCACCTGGGTAGTGACATTGGGGGAAGTATCTGGTTGGTGACATCACTAGTGAAAGTACCTGGTTAGTGACATCGCTGGGGAAGT